AAACGCTCCGATTGGTTCGAGGGTCAGCGAGACCTTAAGAAACGTACCTAGTCCAGTGACATCTGCCATATTATTAGTGATTTCCAGCATTGGATTATTGACTTGGTACATCCACAAACGTTTCTACGATTTAATTTTGTTATCCTCATAAATTAATCGATAATTTTGTTAGCCATTTCGTGCCTAACCTACATGCCTGCACATGAGCAATGTTAATGGACATATCAAGAGCATGCTGAAGGATATCTGGATATGAGATACAAAAACATTAATATTATTTCGTTATCTTTAAAACTCATTAGATTTTACTCAGTCATTTTTCTATTTCAGTTTAAACGCAACTGCCGAAAAAACTATTCAAAACCATCGCTTAGATTTCATTCTATACCAAGTTATTAAATTTGTGTTATCTATTGTCATAAGGATGGCATATTTCCGTTCATTGACAATTATATTCGATGATTTAAAAGGCAATTTTTTATTTTTTTATTTTTGGCAAGTATTTAAAATTGCAATAATTATAACTTTAATATTTTGTAACTCTGTGATAAGTGTAACGTCTCTCATTGACGATGCTGGCTACGATATCGGCGGAACTACCAAAGATGTACCAAGTCAACGGTTTGATAATAGAAATCATTATACATCCTAGATGACTGCCAAACCCAATGCCACTCCATCCTCATCTTATTATCTACGATCTAAATACCATAGAGTTATTTCTTAGAAATAAAATATTATTACATTGAGCCAATAAAATTATGAGGCGTTATTATGGGTTTGAACGCACCCTCATACATGCTGATTGAGACATGCAGAATGTTCGAATTTAGTAAGCAGGGCTGCCACGCCCTTAGGTACGTAGCATGCCGGCTAGAATATGCGTTTGTATTTATGCAAAATTCATGTTTCTTTAGGCCTAGAAAAAGCCTAAACTAAATGTAGTTTTACCATATGCCTCAACATTCATTTGATCTACGAAGTTCAATCCTAGTCCTCGACCACTATTTCATGATAAGATTAATCTGACAGAATTCGCCCAGAATAGGATGAGCACAGTCTCTTCCCTGATCTATCAGTAGTCTCTAGTCCCTACGAAAATATCCATCCGCAGTTTTTGAAGAACCGTCCCTATCGGAGTCGAGACACTATTTTTGTTTCACTCTAATCCCGTCTCCTTACAAATAGAGCGTTGTAAGCATAATACTTGTGAAACATATCGAAGGTGTAGTCTAAGAACATTTTTAATTTATTAATATCTATCCACAATCAGCTGCTGTTTATGCGTCATAGGCATTCACTTTTCTGTCCTTGATGGCTTAACTTGGAGTTTAGAAGACTAGTAATGACCAAGTTTAGTGACTTGGAAGAAAACTTAGTTGAAATGTCGTCTCTCCAATAGCGCCTGGTTCTATTTTTCAGTAGCCAAAAATGCTTTGCGGAGTTGTAAACCTTAAGCTATTCAAAATTCATTTAATCTTTACAGCGTCTATTTTTAAAATGGAATAAAAAGGATCAAGTAGTTGATTTTATTGTGGAAATCATGTCCCGAGTTAGTGGGCTAGAAGATATGCACTTCCGCTCATAAAATAAGTATTTCATTGGTAGATTTGTGCTATAGGGTTCCACCTAAAATGGATAGCGTACACGAGGGAGGTGTGATACGCAGGAGCTGAGAGTTCCACAGAGATATGCATTTCAGCTAGAAAAAACAAGTTGACACAGCATAATTGTCCAAGAAAGACAAGGACAAAGTTTCTAAGACCAAGTGGATTTTAGCGATGTATCAGTGTGATCTCAGCTAAGCAGAGATAGACAGAATTCGAGCCCTGCTGACTGCATTTTCACCTAAGCAGCAATGGAATACCGTGGGGCATAAACGAAAGAAAGCCAGTTTATAGAGAAAGGCACAGGTCACAAGGAGAGCATGGGTTTATCCATATACTTAAAGCTCTCATTAAGGATATATGCACGGGCAACTAAAGGCCAAATGCAACACTAAATTCGATTCTAAAAGAAAAGTCAAGTAGGCATCTACAGTATAGAGTTCACAAATGAGATAGGTAGGTGTTTAGTATAAAGAGACCAAAGAAGTCTCTTAGGCTCTAGACCAATAAAGGAATAGAAAATCCAGGCAGAGAGAGGGAGATGCTCCCTCAGTATAAAGGTGGAGTGTGAAAATGCCGAATGCCTTCTGTAATTTCGATAGATCACAGCATACTTACAGCATGCTGCGCGCATATTGGTGTGCGTGAGCATTTCTATCTCTATCTGGCTTAATTTAAGATGAGCGTACACGTATACACTGCTAAGGGAAAAATTAGAAGAGAATAGGAAAATAGCCTATAAGAAATAAAGAGAATGAAATGATATTCAATCTTCCTGCGCTCCCTTACATCTCTTATAAGAGACACACTGTGATTACAATGGTTCATTGAGGTTAGATTGAAGAGGCTGCAATCCATCAAGCCAAATTCAGGGTGGTAAAGTAGAGAAATAGAAGAAGCATTACGGGATAAGGGCAAATTTTTCAAGCAGGTGCAAAAGGTGAACTATAAACTAGAGGAACAGAAGTACTCTTGGCCATCATGACCCCCGAAAACCGTTTTTATTCATAGTTTTGTGCGCGCACCTGCCTTTCCGTGCGTCTATTTGGAATGGAGACGAGGTCCAAGCTGTGAAAGGGTGGCATAGATCAAATGGGTGTGAATGAGCGTTAAAAAAAGAAAGATAACTAAAGGAAATAGCCAAACTTTATACAAAATCAGATCAAAACAAAGCAAGCTCCGTCGTCATAGCATGTAATGACAGAATAGAGCGCTGAAATGAAGCACTGAAGGAGTATGAGGAGAAGATAGTGAATGATATGAAACACATCATTCGCATTCTCTTTTGTTAAAAAAATAAAAAAAGATGCTTTAAGCATGAAAAGAGTACAACTGCAAGAGACGTAAGGAGCAAGCTCAGGCAAAATTGCTCGCAAAATGGAACTGGACATTATAAATAGGCGAATAGTACAAAACACTTTGTAAAGGCATGCCGAATTCGTTGAAAATGTATTGTATTGCCTGAGGTGAAATTTGATTTCACAATAGACTGGTTGGTGTCATTGCGTGGCTGCCTAATATCAACCACAACTTCTGTGACATCAGAATACCCAAATACTGGGGAAGATCTCGATGGAACGAAGCAGACCATTTGGGGAGTAAAAGGCAGTCAGGCAAACGCTGAGGCATAGAGATGAGCGTTGTTTAGCGATGAAACTCTCTTGCCCTGCTGATGACTAGATGCGTCTAGAAGTCAAAATAGGGGACATTGAAGTTGGGGAGATGGAGGAGGGGCTGGCATGTGACCAATGTTGCGACTGGGAGCGCAACGGCATCATAGCAACAGTAAATTGGCGTTTTGGTAGCTGTGGCGAAAGCAAATGACAGCGGCTCGGTCTGTTCGAGGCTGGACCGCAGTATGCGCCAGGAGGAAAGCGAGGAATACCACTCGAAAAGGGGCCAATGGAGCTCGTCTCGGAGGCCTGGCCTAACGGGCTGGCTGCCTGGGATGTGTCGGCCAGAGAGCCCATTGTCGGTGGAGTCCAGGAGGCAATAATCGTTGTCCTTTGCGGTGGTGGAGGCGGAGAAGATGGATATGAGCACCCTGGCATCTGCTGCCCCGAGGGCTGGTGGTGAGGCAGAGTTTTGTGAAGGGCCTGCAAATAAGTACAAAAGATCTAAATTGCGGAATAAATTGTCAGGGGCTAGCATGGAGAACAAAACAATATAAAATGGAATGGAATAAAAAAGGAAAAAATGTTTGAACAATTAAGTAATAGA